AAATAAAAATGCAAACGATAAGATAAGTAACAATTTAAAAAGGTAAAAAAAATGAATAAAAAGAAAAAAGTGATAATAAAAGTTTGCCATTCTCCATTAATGGGGGAGGGGGCGGGGAGTGGGGCGCATTGCGGAACCTGGGCCTTGGGGCAGCAGGTTGAGTAAATCCGGCCCTGGTGACAACGGCTGTAGAATTGTCCGGCAGGAAGAATGTTTTTGGAAACATTAACACCCATTTGTATCAATATTTCGGATGATCACATCCAGGTGCAGAAGGGAATTAGAGGATTTCCACTTTAAGTCTGGCTGCGGGGCAATGCAGACAGTCTTCGTTTCAGGCCTGTTGATAAATAATTGTGTTTTTAGGAATCTGGCGGATGTTCTTCGCTCACAGCTGCTCCATCCTTCTCCCGGGTGACAATGACACACGTCCTGTCCAGACGCCATTCGTCAGGTGTCAGGGCGCGAGATGTCCGCAGCGAGGTCAGCTTTCCAGAAAGTGCATTAAAGTGTGATGTAACGAGCGTCAGCCGTGATGGATGAGGACGGAGATGACGGCCCCGAGCTCGCCGTGTCAAGATAAATACTTTTACTTTGTGATGAATGAAGATTTCCCGGACGATTGATGGATGGCCTGAGTTCCAGGGGCTCCGTAACGGGACTCTCGGGACAATTTAGAGGAAGATTTTTTTTTTTCATGATGATCGAATCTCGGAGAAGAGCCGAAGTATAAATGATGATAAACAGGGAAGGGTGAGAAGGTGCCGGAAACAGTCTCAGATTCATCATGGAAATGGCCGGGATGCCACCGGAGGAAGACCAGTGACCTATTGGTGTCCTCCTGGAGAAGGTCTAGTCAATGGCCAGGGTTGTCCTGGAAAAAGTTCAGTGAGTGGCCAGGATCCCGCTGAAGAAAGTCCAGTTAATGGGCAGGGCCCTCCTGGAGGAAGACTAGTGAATGGTTAGGGTCCTCATGGAGAAAGTCCAGTTAATGGGCAGGGCCCTCCTGGAGGAAGACTAGTGAATGGTAAGGGTCCTCATGGAGAAAGTCCAGTTAATGGGCAGGGCCCTCCTGGAGGAAGACTAGTGAATGGTTAGGGTCCTCATGGAGAAAGTCCAGTTAGTGACTGAGGTTCGCCTGGAGGAAGACTAGTAGATGGCTGTTGTCCTCCTGGAGAAGGTCCAATTAGTGGCCAGGGTCCCTCTGGAGGAAGACTAGTGAATGGCTGGGGGTCATACTGGGGAAGGTCTGGAAAGTGACTGGGGTCCCCCTGGATGAAGACCAGTAAATAGCCGTGGTCCTATTGGAGAAGGTCCAGTTGGCAGCCAGGGTTCACCAGGAGGAGGACCAGTGAATGGTCAGGGTCTATCTGTTGGAGGTCCAGTTACTGGCCAGTGCCCTCTTGGAGGAAGACTAGTACATGGCCAGGGTTCTCCTGAAGAAAGACCAACAAATGGCTGGGGTCTTCATAAAGAAAGTCCAGTTAATGGCCAGGGCCCTCCTGGAGGAAGACTAGTAAAAGGCTCGGGTCATACTGGAGAAGAACTGGTTGGTGATCTGGGTCCCCCTGGATGAAGACCATTAAATGGTTGGGGCACTTCTGGAGAAGGTCCAGTTAGTGGCCAGGGTCCTCCTGAAGGACGACCAGTAAATAGTCATGGTCCTCCTATAGGAGGTCCAGTTAGTGGCCAGGGTCCCACCGCAGAACGACTAGTAAATGGCTGGGGTCATACTGGAGAAGGTCTGGAAAGTGAGTAGGGTCCCCCTGGATGAAGACCAGTAAATAGCCATGGTCCTCCTATAGGAGGTCCAGTTAGTGGCCAGGGTCCCCCTGGATGAAGACCAGTAAATGGCTGTGGTCCTACTGGAGAAGGTCCAGTTAGTAGCCAGGGTCCTCCAGGAGGAAGACCAGTGAATGCTCAGGGTCATTCTGTAGGCGGTACAGTTAGTAGAAGCAGCTGGGATCCCTCGGAAAAGGATCAGTTGGTGTCCCAGGTTTCCTGGAGGAAGACCAGTGAATAGCCGGGGTCCCCCTTGAGGAAGACCAGTGAATAGCCGGGGTCCCCCTTGCGGAGGACCAACAAATGGCCGGGGTTCCCCTAGAGGACGGCGATGATGGTGAAAATATATCACGGAAAGTCATAATGTGAAAATCCCAACAGAAGGAATTTCTGGCCAATTGGCGATAAGTCCTCGTGGGGAAGATTTGGCTGAAAACACCTGAGAATTGGCTTCAAAGAGAACCTGTCACTGGCTCAGCGGACAAAGTCAAGTATTGATCAGAACCAAGATGCATCCGTTCACAAGGAATATTATAAAATTAATCTTCAGATATAATACGGCTACAGAGGGAGCGTGACAGGTACTCTTATAACTGCATGCAGGAGCTGAGCGCCCCCCATCATATCCCCCGCCAATTATTTCCTGAGGTCCAGGAGAGCTCTCCAATCCACTTCAATGTCATTTCCTTCGCTGCGCGGAATCAGCTAATTACTGAAAATGAAGCTTTAATGAGAGCGCCGCGCAGCAGAGAGCCGTGGAAAATTAGGGAGCAGTGACAAGACCCCCCTCCCCCACCCCCGCCCAATATATATGTGATTCTATATACTCCTATTATATCATTTTAAGAGGCCGATAACGAGTCCAATCTACATACTTCACTCCTCCAGATAATGGTGTCAGCTGCCTTCATTGTGTCTTAGCAGGGGAGACTGAGGAAACGCTTCCTCCTGCCTCAGTACCGCTCTCAAGAGCCCCCAGCCCTGATCCAAGCAGTGGGCTGGCTTGTGGGAGGAGTTATGCAAATTTCGAAATGCCTGGAGGAGTGGGCATTCCTAGGCTGGCTTGAATTTGCATAGGTAACACCCACATGTGATGCTGAGCCTCCATGATGCAAAGAACTGAAATCCAATTAACGAAAGGGGCGGGGCTAGGCACAGTCAGGCAGGCAGGGGAGGAAAGACCTAGATGATGCTGGACGTCCTCCAGCCAGGAAGTGAGGCGGGGCTGTATCTGACTTGCTGCAGCTTCTAATGCACATTGTGCGGTGCTGGTTGGGGGGATCTTTCTTATAATAGAGGTTGGATCAGGCAGCCCCTTGTCTGTATTCCTCTTCAGTCTTTGCTTCCTAATACAGGTTCTCTTTAGTCGTCACGCTGACAGGAGGAGAGCTTTGACCTCAACGGAATAATTAACGTCTTCTTCTTTTTTTCCGCAGAGCCGCTCATCTCTAAAGGAAACGATTGCCTGGACGCCGCCAAGGCCTGCAACCTGGACGACACGTGCAAGAAGTATCGCTCGGCCTACATAACGCCGTGTACCAACAGCATATCCAACGAGATCTGCAACCGCAGGAAGTGCCACAAGGCCCTGCGCCAGTTCTTCGATAAGGTGCCGGCCAAACACTGCTACGGCATGCTCTTCTGTTCCTGCAAAGACACGGCCTGCTCGGAGCGGCGGAGGCAGACCATCGTCCCGGCCTGCTCCTACGATGAGAGAGAGAAGCAGAACTGCCTGAACCTGCAAGAGTCCTGCAAGACCAACTACATCTGCAGGTACCCCGCCGCCTCGGCTCCTCCCCCCGAGGGGGGGGGGGCGTTTTATGTTATAGACCCCCACACACACATCTACGCGCTTGTATGTCAGCTTCCAAAATGTAGGCAGTTCGGTTCAGCTAGTCATGTGATCCGCACACCCCCGCAGAGAGCGACGCCGCCATTGAGATCCTGCAGCTTCCTATGTCCGTACCCGGGAACTTGCAGGAGTGGCTGAGCCGGAGTTCAACGCTGTGACCCTATGCACCACCGTCACCGTCGCATTATCAATGACTGGAGGCCGAGGTCATTCTACGCCTGCGCCGCTGCCTAGTCGTTGACTCGTTCCCTAGAGGGAGATGTGCAGGAGTAGAGTGACCTCTGACTGCCAATCATCTATGAGGAGGGCGGGCACAGATACGACACACCTCCCCCTGACTGCCAATCATCTATGAGGAGGGCCGGATCTAATACAGCACACCTCCCCTTGACTGCCAATCATCTATGAGGAGGGCGGGCACTAACACAGGACACCCCCCCCCTGACTGCCAATCATCTATGAGGAGGGCGGGCACTAACACAGCACACCTCCCCCTGACTGCCAATCATCTATGAGGAGGGCGGGCACTAACACAGCACACCTCCCCATGACTGCCAATCATCTATGAGTAGGGCGGGCACAGATACAACACACCTCCCCTTGACTGCCAATCATCTGTGAGGAGGGCGGGCACAGATACAACACACCTTCCCTTGACTGCCAATCATCTGTGGGGAGGGCGGGCAGAGATACGACACACCTCCCCTTGACTGCCAATCATCTATGAGGGCGGGCACTAACACAGCACACCTCCCCCTGACTGCCAATCATCTATGAGGAGGGCGGGCACTAACAGAACACACCTCCTCCTGACTGCCAATCATCTTTTTGTGTGGGCGGGAACTAATATAGCACACCTCCCCCTGACTGCCAATCATCTTTTTTGTGGGCGGGAACTAATATAGCACACCTCCCCCTGACTGCCAATCATCTATGAGGAGGGCGGGCACTAACAGAACACACCTCCCCCTGACTGCCAATCATTTATGAGTAGGGCGGGCACAGACAGATTATTCGATGTGTTCACTTTTGCAGAAACAAGTCCGACTTGAATGAGCGTCTGCCAGGCTGAGCACATTAGATGGGGGAGGGGCGGTTCTTACATCCCAAATAAATAATAATAAAAGTAACATTTTCATCATAAATTCTATTTCAGGGACATATAAAGTTCTGTGAATTCTGACCAATGCAACTTCCACATTAATGTATCCCTTAAAGTGGATCTGTTTCTGTTAGCCCCTCCCCCCAGGGGTCTGGGTCAGGGTTAGCGCCTCCTCTCAGGGTCTGGGTCAAGGTTAGACCCTCCCCTCAGGGGTCTGGGTCAGGGTTAGACCCTCCCCTCAGGGGTCTGGGTCAGGGTTAGACCCTCCCCTCAGGGGTCTGGGTCAGGGTTAGACCCTCCCCTCGGGTCTGGGTCAGATCCTCCCCTCAGGGTCTGGGTCAAGGTTAGACCCTCCCCTCGGGTCTGGGTCAGGGTTAGACCCTCCCCTCAGGGGTCAGGGTTAGACCCTCCCCTCAGGGGTCAGGGTTAGACCCTCCCTTTGGGTCTGGGTCAGATCCTCCCCTCAGGGTCTGGGTCAAGGTTAGACCCTCCCCTCGGGTCTGGGTCAGGGTTAGATCCTCCCCTCAGGGTCAGGGTTAGATCCTCCCCTCAGGGTCTTGGTCAGTGTATGGGCCTTCCCCCATTGTGGGTGTTTACAGCACTTTTGGTGAAATCTGTTTCAAAAAAATACTTTTTTTGTTGTATTTATATATTTGTTTAAAATCTCCAATTTTTGGGCAAAATTTAAGAAAAATTAAAGTTCTCGGTCTCGCCCTGAGAATGGCGCAGTCGGTGGTAGATGTGAGCGCTCGTTTCCCATTAATCGCACTGATTGTCGGGGTCCCCATGTCCCCATGGCCACGCCCAGAGAGAAACCCGCCGCCTTCAACTGGCAGGAACGGGGTTGTGTCACCTGCGAAGAGGGACAGGAAACAATGTAACTCAATGTGACAATAACACAAACCAATGTGACACAATGTAATACAATGTAAAGCACTGTAACAGAATATAATACATTCTAATACAATGCAATACAATGTGACACAAAGAAAATCAATCTCACACAATGTAACAATAATACAAAACAATGTGACACAATGGAACACAACGTAACACAATGGAACACAATGTAACACAATGGAACACAATGGAACACAATGGAACACAGTATAGCACAGGGCTGCCCATTAGGTAGATGGTGATCGTAGCTCTCAGAGCTGATGCTGGGAGATCAGGGAGGGGGCGGGGGGACTCAGAGCAGAACGCTTCCAGGTTCATGCGTCACAGGGACGCAGCGAAAAGGAATAACCAGACAGGAAGTGAGGGAAAAATCTGCACTCCGTCCAAAACCTAACATAAAGTTCGGGTTGGACATTTTAAACTCTTTAGGACCTTCCTATTGGAGAGTTCTATTAGCACACATTTCCCAAGGAAAGAGAACCTGTCAAGAGACAAACATGGCAGCCGCCGTCACCGGCTGAAGCTCCCCGGCTGTCGTCTTCCCTCATTCTCTGCTGAGTGTAACACTGACCTGGAACCAGCATGCGGCCAGTGAAGTGTCATCTGCGATGGGAATTAGGAGGCGCAGCGGCATCTGGAGAGGAAGGAGCGGTGACGATATGACCGGGGGGAAAAAAAAGTTCTCTCCGCAAAGATTGAGAAAAGGTCACCGAGGAGCCGTGACACCGAATCCCGGGGACAATCCAAAGGTGGAGCCCGTGCCGTCATCTCCGTCCTTCCATGTGTCGGCTGCATTCGTTTTCTTTGCTCATCTTCCTTCCCTTTATATTCCTGCCACTTCCTGTCCTAGGGTGACAACACTCACTTACTGTATCAATAGAGTAGCAGCGTTTTCACCCTTGGACGGGACTACAGAACACCTTCCCTTCTCCTCCTCTTAGGCATGAGCTCAGTCTGACCGAACAGAAATCGAATGGAATGTTTAAAGCTGAAGTTTAATCTGAGGATATTTTGCCTTCCCTGGTTCCTCCACCAGTGGCGTCAAGGGGGGAGGGGGTGCGGGGGGGGTGCAGCCCACACCCGTGCAGGGGTGACACCAAAATGACTGACAGTCATTTTGGTGTCACCCCCCTCTAAAAAGTCGGGCACTCGGTCATGGACCAGG